GACGGATCCGAAACGTGACTTAAAACCACAAAAAAAGTCCGTTACAGCGCAGTTATTTAGATAAAATATAAATATTTATGCGTAATATAAAGTCAGTTCAAATAGACTTCAAATCACCTCTTAGTTCAAAGCAAAAAAATAAAATAAAATAAAAAGTTTCTGAGGTTTATCTGATAGAAAAAAGGCTACTTTGAGACGGGGGGGGGCGGGGGGGCGCGGCCGGACCCCCCTGCCCAGGTAGGTGAGTTGTTTTCAGTGCTCTGTGGGGCCGGGGGGGACGCGCCGGGACCCCCAAAACCGCCCCAAACCCCCAGAGCGAGTACCCGTAATAACCTGGCCGGGGGGGCCGGGGGGGTCCTGGCCCCCTCCCGGGCCATCCACAGCATGGGGGGACCTGGGGGGGACCCCTGCCCCAACTCGGGCCCCCCCAGCTGGGGGGGGAACCCCTCCCCACCCAGTGCAACCCCCCCCAGCCCAGTGAGGTCTGGGGGGGCAACACCCGCCTGAGGCTTCAAGTCCATGGTGGGGGGGGACAGGGGGCCAGGTTCCCCCCCCGGGCCCGCAGGTAGGTCCCTGGGGGATCTCAGTCGGGGGCAGGGGGGCGGCCAGGCCCCCCCCCAGCCCGGGGGGTCCTCGTGCCGGGGGGGGGGGGGGCCGGGCTCTTCCTGAGACTGGAGGCAGGGAAAGGGGTGCCGGGCCCCCCCAGCCCTCCCCAGTTTGGTCCCTGGAGCCAGGTGGGGTCCGAGGGCAGCAGGGGGGGCTGCACCGGGGGCCCCCCCTCCCCGTAAAGTGTCTGAGCGGGCGGGGGGTCCCGGCCAGGGTGGGGGGCGAGGGGGGGCTAAGTCCACTTTACTGGCCGTTAATGCATGAGACGCTGCACAGGAGTGCTCGGACATTCACTAAACTATTGCTATCGTTAAATATTCTCGGGGGGGGGGGTCCCCCCCCCCTGGGGGGGGGGGGGGGGGGGGGGGGGCTGCTTCTGTTCTTAATTAGAAAATTAAATTTAAAAGAAAGAAAGAAAAAAAACACCTCTTTTTTTTTTCTTTTTGGCTTACACAGTCTGTGAGTTTGTGGTGCTGGGGGTCGGGGGGGGTCTGGGCAGGATGGGGGGTGGTGGGGGGCGAGACCAGGCAGCGGGAAGGGGCCACGGGGCTGGGGGGGCCCGTTCACGCTGCCGGGGGTGAGGGGGGACGAGCCCCCCCGTGTGGGATCAGCAGGCAGCGAGAGCAGCTCCAGAGGAGGCAGTTCGTGGGGTGACGGGGACCCCAGCCCCAAGGGGGCACAGGGGGGGCACAGCTGGCCCCCCGCTCACGGGTTCGGAGCGTGTTTTCCCTGATAAAATTCCTCCCACCGGCTCTGGAAGAACCGGCGCATGGCGTGGCCGGCGCGGCCCACGGCGGAGTCGTCCTCGTTGAAGGTCTGGCAGTTGTCAAACACCAACAGGGCATCGGCCTCGAACTCTGCCGAGCTCGAGTACCTGAGGGGGGGGACGGGGTGGGTGGAGGGCGGCCAGAGATCCCCATGGCCCCCACCAGGACCCCCATCCCCGGGAGTGACCCCGTCAGCCCCAAAGGAGCCCCATCCCCAGGAGGGAACTCCATCCCCTGAAGAGACCCCAACGGCCCCTGAGGGACCCCATCCCCAGGATGCAGCCCCATCCTCAGAAGGGCCTCCACCAGCCCCCGAGGGACCCCCCATCTCTGGAAGAGACCCTGCCAGCCCCAAAGGGACCCCTGTCCCCAGGAGGGACCCCCGGCCTCCCCACTCACCCGCCCCGCAGCAGCCGCGTGCGCATGGTGGCGAAGTCCATGGGGTTCTTGATGATCTTGCGGTAGCCGGGGACCAGGCGGGGGTTCACGGGCTCCAGGAAGGGCCACGCGTCCTCGTGCGACTCCATCTCCATCAGGATGATCCTGGGGGAGCGGCAGGGTCAGGGGGAGCCCCCGGGGGCACGGCCCGAGCCCCCTCCCTGCGGCCCCCCCGGCCCCACTCACTCGCAGAAGGTGAGGTCGCTGGGCTGGCCCCGCAGGGTCACTCCCCTCCGTTTGGTGGGGGTCAGCCCCTCTCCCGGGTACCGGGGCACGGGCAGCCCCTCTCGGCGGCGCAAGGCCGGGCGGCGCCGCGGGTTCTCCTCCTCCTCCTCCGGGGTCCCCCCGAGACGCCCCCGTTTCCGCTTCTTGCCCCGTCGGGGCGAGACGGGGTCCCGGTACTGCCCTGCCTGCGGGGAGGGGACGGGGGTCACGCCGAGCCCGGGGTCACCGCCAGCCTGGCCGGGCGGGGGACGGCCCGGGGACCTACCCGGGACACGCAGACGGAGCAGAACCAGTCGCCCTCGGGCACCTCGGTCATCCTGGGCCGGTGGCAGTAGAGGTGGCAGCCGCGGTCGCAGCCGTCGCACAGCAGCAGGTGCTCGTCGTCGTCCCCGCGCCGGCACACGAGGCAGGTCTGTGGGGAGGGGGGGCTCAGTCAGGCTGGGGAGGGGGCTCCGACCCTCCCTGCCTCGCCCCCCCGGAGCGGGGTCTCACCACTCTGTTCACAGACTTCTCCCAGGCGATGGATTTCTCCAGCTGGAAGATGCACAGGGACACCTGGGCCGCGCTCCGGCACCGCTCCAGCGTCTGCCGCCACGTCCGCACCCGCGGCGTGATCTCGTAGGCTCTGGGGGGGATTGGGGGGCTCAGCCAGAGCTGGGGGGTCCTGCTCTGCCTGAGCCTCCCAACACTTGCCGGTCACTCACATCTCAGTGGGGCCCAGGCTCAGCTCCTCGGGGCTGCTCAGCACCGCCTTCTCCACCACCACCTCGTGCAGCGGCCACAGCGGCTCCTTCAGGTACCGGCGCTCCAGGTTCTGCTCCAGTGCCAGGAGACGGAGCACGGCCAGATCCAGAGGGTTGGTGCGTTCCCGGCGCAGCGGGAGCCCGTCCCGCCGGGAGCGGATCGTGATGTCCTCCAGCGGCTCCACCTTGTGCTCGCAGTACCGGAGGTCGTCCCGTGTGGAGTCGGGGCTGGGGCAGGTCCAGCCCTGCGGGAGGGAGGGGGTTAAAGGGGGTTCAGTGGGGGGGAGTCACCGTAGCACCAAAACCACCATCCCCGGCACCAAAACCACCATCCCCGGCACCCACCCGGATCTGCAGGTCGGCCATCAGCACGCGCTGCTCCAGCTCCTCCACCCACTGCAGGACGCCGAGGTCGGTCTCGTAGGCTCTGTCCATCACCGACCACCGGGCCAGGACTTCCTGAGACACGGCGGCACCGGTCGCCTCGGGGCGCGGGTGGAAGATGGGGTCTGGGGGGGAGAAGGGTGGGCTCAGGGGACGGACAGCCAGCAGCCCCCAGGCCTGGGGGTGCGGGTGGAAGAGGGGGTCTGGGTGGATGGAGGGTGGGCTCAGGGAGGGGCACAGGCAGCCCCCACCCAGGGGCCCAGGCAGCCCTTACCGGTGGTGGCCCTGAGGCAAACCTCCCGCAGGAACTCCTTGTGCTTGGTGAGGTGCTTGTGCAGGGCCTTCTCCCGGATGCCACGCGGGTGCAGCGCCCGGGCCACGGCCTCCAGCTCCTCGGGGTCCCGCAGCCACCACCAGCCACTCTGCATCTCTGTAAGGCAGTGCCAGGGCTCAGCACCGTGCCGGGGCACCGGCACCGCCCGCCCTGGGGGTCCCGGGCTCTCACCGGGGGGCACGGGCTGCTCCGTCAGCTGCGTCAAGTATTTCTGTTCGATCTGCTTGAAGAATTTAGTGGGGGGTCGCCCTCGGCGCTTGGGCTGTCCCGGCACGTCCTGGAGCTTCTCCGGGTTGCCCCGGCTCCGGGGGCAGGCGCCGTGGGCCCTGGGCCCGGCGTGCACCGGTGTGGAGGCGAGCAGGGGAGCTGCGGGGTCGTCCGTGGGGAGGCCATTCAGCTGCGTGAGACAGGGGGTGTCAGGAGAGCCAGACACACCCCCTGATCCTTGGCCCTCATTCTGCAGCCCCCCCTGGTCCCCAGTCCTGCAACCCCCCCAGCCTTGGAGCTGTTTCCCTTCTCACCAGCTCACACCCCAGAGAATTGGGGGCAGCCTGGCTGAGCTCCACGTGCCAACCCCGAGCCTGTCCCCCACCCTGGGGGTGCCCAGTGCCCAGGTTGAGGGCCCCCCATGCTCCCCACAGCCACCCAGGGAGAATCCCCCTCCCGACACAGCCCCCCAGGCTGGGGTGCAAGTGCTGGGCGCGGCCTCCCCGTGTGGTACCTGCTGGGGTGAGCCCTTGGGGGGGTCCCCGCGGGTCTGGCTGCGGGGGGGCACAGCGGGGGCTTGTGGGGAGGGCTCGGCCGAGGAGGTAGCGAGGGGGGCTCGGTCGTCACAGGGCGTCCGGGGCAGCAGGTTGAACCAGGGCCCCCGCTTCTCCACAGCCTCCGGGGCACTCTCCTCCTCTTCCTCCTCCAGCTCCTCCTCCATCGGATCTGAGGGGGCCTTGAGTGGCGGTAGCCCCGCGTCCCCCTTGCCGGGGCTGCTGGCCGGGGTGAGGACGGAGTCCTTGAGCAGGGACGACTGGGTCTGGCTCAGCCAGGAGAGGAAGGCGGACTGGCTGAGGTCGTGCTGGCTCTGCCCCAGGGGCTCCGGCTCCTCCAGGACCCCGTTGATGGGGGTGGGTCGGGGTCCGCAGTGCTGTGCCAGCTCCTCTTTGCTCTTCCTGGGCCGGCCCCGGGCGCGGGAGGTCGGGCAGCTCGTCCGGCTGGGAACGGGCACATCCGCCGGCTCCTCCTTCACCAGGGACACGTGGGGGGGCACCTTCTCCTCGGGGGGCTCCGGGGGCGTCGGCTCAGCCGCTGCGAGGGCAGGAGGAGGAGGTGAGATGTGGGGTCCTCTCCCAGCTGGGAGAACCCCCAAAAGCCCCTTCCCCGCTCACCCTCCGCACCCTCCACGAAGATGCCGCCCAGGTGGGGCAGGACCCAGTAGCGCCGCCGGTACCGGTCCTGGCCCAGGGAAGCCGCTCGCAGGGTCTGGGAGGAATGGAGCAGCTTCTTGCGGAAGAACATCTGCCTCTGTGGGGAGAGTGGGGGGCGGTGAGGGGGCTGCAGCCCCCCAGCAGGGCTGAACCCCCAGCCCTCCACCACCCCGCTCACCTTGGCCAACTTCTCGATCTGCCGCTCCAGCTCCGGGACGCTGGATGCGGACGTGTCGGCCTGGGGAAGGGATGGATCCGTCAGGGAAGCACCAGAAGGCGGGAAAGAGACCCCCAAGAGAGACACCCCTGCCTCTGCCCCCCAACCCCGAACCACCCCACCTCCTCCTCCCGGCGGGATCTCCGTCCCCGGCTCTCCTCCTCCTCCTCCATCTCCAGGCCCGTGTCCTCGGTCAGGCGGGAGCTGCGCCGGCGCCGTCCGTCCTCCAGGCCCGTGATCTCCGACTCGGGACGGCCCGTCTTCTTGGCCAGGGCGACCTTCAGCCTGCCAGGACAGAGTGGAGCTGTTTGACTCCTGTCCCTCTGCCCACCCCCACTCCCCCAGAGGCAGCTGCTCACACCCCACCATTGGCAACGCCACCCCCAGAC